TGTTCCGGTACGCTTAGTCGCGCCGGGCAAGGGTTCTACAGCTGAATTCGTGGGCATGCGTAGCTTCACAAGAGTGCGCCGGCGGCTGGGAACAGTGGGTAATGACCAGATCTTGAACAACAAAAGGCACTTGGGCGCTGGTAGCGTGCACTATAGACCGCACATTAGTCACAGCCCGTAATCTTGATAGAGGGCGAAACCACCTGCATCATATCCCCCTAGTCGCGAGCGGTCAAACCGTCCACCCGGGAGATGTTGTTGATGAAACGGAGGATGGTGCTTAGAGCGTCCGACGGTCCTGGGACGATATGAACGCGCAATTAGTTCATAAAGCGAACAGAGGTATCCGAGGCGCGAATGAGTAACCGTACGGGATGAGGAAAGACCTGCTTGAAGACCTCAAGCTCGAACTCGTGCACGAGATCAACTACGAAGATTGAGCAGAGAGTATCAAGAACAGAGCAAGCACTCTACGACAAGTGGGTCAGTCAAGGATAACCTTCATCACGGCGTACACGAACCTTATTCGGAGCGTATGGATGCTTGCCTAGCACTCCCTGGACGTCCATAACCGCCTCGCGCACCATGCGTCACCGCATTGCACTCAGATGTCCGGGATCTTCTCCGAGGCCTCGCAACTAGTACAAGGGCACGTTCCCATGTTTCTTACGGCAGCAAGAAGAGCCCTGCCGTTGCGCATCAGTGGAAGAGTGACTGAGGTGTCAAGTACTATATGAAGCTCACTTCTCAGGGTAGTCGGTCGCATATGTGAACAATGGCGGAAGGACTGGGGTGTGGTCGCCATCGGGGTGATTGACAGCGATATCGCTCATGCAAGTGCCCACAAAATCGACATCGAGCAATGGTTTCCGGACGGCGCACATGAGCTGGGATCGAAGGTTGGCACGACGGTCGTCCGATTTGCGACCTCCGATAAGCGTCTCGTACCCGTCAAAGAAGTCGCTAGACAGCTGTATGTTGTATGTGAGACGCATAATGACGGATGATGTAATCTCGTTGCATACCTCAGGAATGTGGCAGGTAGTGGGATGAGGAGGAATACATGGATGCAAGTCGGCGCTTTGACCTTTCGCACTGAGAACGAGATCCTATCTCAGGCGGCTGGAAGTACGATAGGCTTGCTAGCTCGAAAGCAGAGCACAAGGGAGAATTGTCGTAGACGTAGACGTCAGGATGTGCGGTATCGTAGCTATGCGCGGTCTGGGTGGGTAGACTGATTAGGGAGGGGGGCGGGAGAAGTAGTAGTCGCGAGTGCTCGGAGCGGTGAAAGCGCTGATCCGCCATCAATCCGCCGCGCCTCGCTATCCGGATCGCGCCGCCCTCAAAGCCGCCTCGAAGGCTGTGACATAGCGCTCGGGGCAGCGCCTAGGCTGGTGAGCAGGTCTGCGTCTGCTATGCACACGGAGAGTCAGAGTCTGCAGCTTGCTTCGCACTTTGTCAGCCACTCGTGTTCTTTCTCTGTAGGCCGGGCTCAGACGCATCAAATGCGTGTCTCTACGCTTTGCCCAATACCATTCCTGTCTATTATCTCGCTCCAGTACTACATACGGCAAGTCATCTACGTCGCTCATCGGCCTTTCTTCTAGCAAGCCTCCGCTATCTTGCGCACACCGGCTACGGCTCAACCCACGACCCTCGAGATGACGGTCACTGTGTCTCTTCGCGGTGCTCAGGGACGAGCGACAAGGTAGCTCCTCGTATACTCTTGGTCTGCTAACCACTTTGGATCGAGCGCAATCACTGTCTAGTCGCTAATGAGTGCAGGAACGAGGAAGACGAGCGTAATCTCACCATGACTGTGATTTCTTCACGATGGTCGAAGTCGTCTGGTTTCAGGACACACCCACCAGACGCTGCATACTCATCCCAGCGTACGAACCAGCTAAAAAGGTTATGATCAGTTCCCGCACTGTCATAAAACTGGAGTCAGAGGGAGGCACCAGGTCTGCAGCCGCTTCTTGAGCCTGAACGTGAAGCCTTGGGAAACGAACGCATCTCTTCCAGCTTGCATAGGAAAGGGTGTCAAAGTTGCATTCGCGAGGGAGGCCGCCATAGGTCATTTAAAAGCGCGTCTGATACCCGTAGTCTTGCTGCTAGTAAGGCTGTGAGACATGTAGTTGAAAGTTGTCACGGCTGGATCCTCCGTACCGCACAAGATAAAGCGTCGAGTATCGCGTTGGGATCGGTGTCGTCCAGTAATGAAGATTACGCTCGATATAAGACGCAGGCCGCGTAAGACCACGTGCACAGTAGACAGAGTCTACAAAAGTAGGTGACTGCGTATGTGATGCAATCATTGTGGAGTCCAGAGGTCGGACTGTTGCGGACTCGGAGGGTTGGTACCGGTGACGGAACATTAAGACGATGGCTGAGAAAGATGGCGTACACCACACAGTGGTCGGAGGGGCTCCGGATGTACCCACACCGGTATCCCATAAATTTGTGTAGACTTCCATGCCGCGAGATAGAGTCGGGAGTCCTCGATGTCCGTTTTCTAGACGCTGAAGTGAATACCGCCGAGTCTCGGGTGTTTCCTGGAGCTGCCGTGATAGCATTCACACGGATAGTCGAGTAGTGCTTCTCTCCCATCCGCAGCCGCGACTGGAAAGCGCTCATGATCAAGGCGGCCGTCGGTTTCGAAGCTCATGGCGTTCAGGAATGCTTCCTCGCGACGGCCGAGATCGTGAATTGACGAAGCGTGCACGTCAACAGCACCATCCTATTCACGACTGTTGTATTTGGCGCCGGCGATGCGCCTTGAGATGGATCTCACGCGCAACACGAACCCAGTAGACTCAAGGGCGAGTGATGCAGTTGTAGCCAGACTTGCGAGATACGCCTTTCCCCTCCCAATCTTCCTTTGGCTTCCTCCAGTTAACCTGCGCGGTTGCGCGGAACGAGCTTGTTCGCTGTTGTTAATTCGCCCTTCACACGTCGGGCCCCCCTCTTCATATGTCATTATGCAGGCCGTGATATGTCTACTTGCGCCCTCTGGAGTTCATCGTCCAGGCGCTCGCTCGGAAGTGGTGCTATCATATCATGTCAGTGAAGTGTGCAGCTTTATGGCAGCTATGATTGCGTACCGAGATCACACGTCTTCTGCCAGTTCCACGAACTGCACATATCATTAATTGTGTCTTGCATCGAACCAGGTCCCATCTCGCGCATGCTTGCTGCCGCGGGATTTACCCCTGCCCAGATACGCGTGCATCCCTCGCCGTCGGTCTGGCCAATATCCTGAGCAAGGCTATAATCGTAGCGTATGAAGCGGTGCATGACGCGTGCAAAGCGGTAGGGCTTGGGAACGACAAGGATCTTGGCACGGGCAAACAATGCGCGCACACCCTCAGATAGAGCGCTGTCAGAGGGTTTGATCGTACTCAGTTGCCGGTCCAGAGACGTGATCCATTGGCACACAATGCGAATTGAAGAGACGACGGCGACAGAAAGGGACATCTTGATGTAGCGATGGACTATGTACGAGGCATATTCGATTGCGCCGGAGCTGTATTACCGAATGAGTGAGATGAATCAAGTCGACATGTACGATTGTTACTCGCCATTCGCCTTCCACCCATGAAGTGAGTCTGGGGGGAAGCCCAAACTGGTGATGAGCACGAGAGGCACCCGCGACGGTCTCCATACGATGTACATCGCCGCCCGTCTGAGTGACCTGATGCTGCGCTTCGACCCGCGAGGAGTCTGATGCCTATGTACCCAGTCAGTGCTCTGAAGTCATCTTGTAGCGTCACAACGCATACCTCCTTAACTTTTCCATATTTACCAGCGCACACAACGCTGACGTAGCTCTTGAGCTGCTTCGTCAGAGACATATAGACAGAAGCATTGTTGCGCCATGTGTTTGCGCTGCCGTTGGAGCGAGCAAGGCGGTCGGAGAGCCGGAGGTTGGCGTTTGTGGAGAGATGAACTCGATGCTTCGACCAACTGGAACTGCATCAGCACTCGTATGCACAGAGCAAAGTATGTTTACTTGCATGGCCCTGTGCTGGTGCATAAGATAGCTCGTGATTTTTCCTCCCTCCCTAGCACAAGCGAGGTAGGTAATTGCGCAAGCACTCTGAGGAGCACTGGCGGGCCCACTGCTTTCAAGCGCGCGGCGATAGTCGTACCGACTGGGTCGCCCAAGTACGTCAAGGCGAGTATGTGAGTCAAGGATCTCGGTAGTCGTCATAATAGGAGCCGACATAGTTGTGAGCGCATAGACTGAGCCAACGCCGATATGGAGGGTTTGTTGACAGAGCGCGACTCCCCGATAGATCGCGTCAACACGACCTGTCACGACGTGCACTTTCGTGACATTGTGGGACTTCCCGCGCCAGAAAACTAATTCGGCGTTTGTCCCCCATCATGCATCCGCTGCGTATGAAGGCCCGGTCTTGTACCTGCTCCGATGGGCGATACAACGCGCCGACACGTATCAACCCAGCGCAGCATCACAAAGGATGTCCTTGTATCAACTTCTATAAAATGGAGTTCTCGGTGCCATGTCTAGCTCCTGTTCGTCACGCAGTGGTTCACCGGCACCCTTGCTCTCGCAATGCTGCCTCTCGGTGATAACACCTTTCTCCCCATCGCTATCGCAACTCTCGAAAACTTTCAAGCCCGCTCGAGCAAGTCCTGGGAGCCTATACTCAGTCTTCTGCGTGAGATGCGCGACGCGGACTTGCCGCCCGTTCCCAACATCGATCTTCTTCCCCCCATCGACCATTATTTGCCCGTCCACGAGCATCATCCTCTTGTCCGGGATGTCCTCTGGACTCTATCTTGGGAAGTGAAGGAAGGAAATGAGGTGCATTCTGTTGCTATTTAATGTGCGGTGCCGCTATTCATGCCAACTAGCATATACCCGTCACTCTCAGCACAATGTCCCTCGTTTATGAGCTGTATTCCGGTCGGACCATGGCAGCATTTCGCGTCAACTACATCCTTCCTCAACCGATCGAACGCCCCGAGGATTTTGCCATATACATGCAGCCCATGAACCGTGTCGCTAACGTTCTATTCGGATGGCGCGGCGCGGATGTTTTCTATTCGCTATACCCCTACATTCCCCGGTTCGTGACGCGTCAGCTCATGTCAGTCACGCTTCATCGACTGTATGCTACCTATGTCCACATACGTCGCGCACCGCTCTCTGACGACTAGACATCCAGGAACAGCGGCCAGACGGAGCGCGACTTCTTTCGTACTTTTCGGCGGCGCCAATTCACCGCGTGGCTAGGCCTCCTCTACGAGATCTTGAACCCTAAGAAACCTCTTTCCATGAACATTCAGCCAATCGTGCTTCTTACCGTCGCAGAGCGAATGGTGCCACCTCTCGACGGTCGTCGTCTTCAAACAGAGTGGCTTACGACTCTGGTCGAACGTGGCGCCATCTCCGTCCGTAGCGTCGAAAATTTGTCGGCCGAGCAACTATTTGCCCTTCGACGAGCTCACCTTATATGGCACGCTGTCAAGAGGCGTTGTATGGACTGCGATAGCAAGATCGATTCTGGACTTCCTCCCCGATCGTGCCGTAGATGCCGCCGCGTTGTCTATTGTAGCAAAGATTGCCAAACCCGGTGAGTTACTCGTATGCATTGACATATAAGCAAGCGTTGACTCACACCGGAGGCACTGGGCTGCCTCCCACCGCGACGTCTGCGAGATCTGGCATCGCGTTGAAGTGCGAGCGAAGGAGCCGGTGGTCCGGGCACATATCGAAGCTCTTCCCATCGACGTAACCACGATGTTTGAGGATGATACACTATAATAGTCTCCTTCCTCGTTCTCATTATCTTCTGCCTCGAAATGTGTGATATTCCCCTGCGTGAGATGTAAGCGCCCGCTGGCTTGATGAGGCATACCGGCTTCACGACATCCATACGATCAACGGATCAGCGCAGCGGATCAGCAAACTGGACTCCGCGTCGACGAAAGCTTGCACCATCAAGCCATCAATACCCACTTGTCTACTACGTTCACCTATGCTATTTGTCGCGCCGTGGCGTACCGGGATACATGGAATACAGATGGTGCCTTTGCTGATAGGGTATACTGGTCTGGCCGTCACGTACCGCGCTCCCGACGTTGGCGCAGATCTTGCTGGCGTCCTTGCCACATGACCCATCCTACGATGCTATGAGCAGAGAAGTGAACCCATTCTCGAGACACGCCAAATTTGTTGCTGGTCCTTTCTCATCATCGATCTCACGCCCTGCCTGTATCGTCTCGGTACTCTCTCCATCTGTACCTAGTCGATCGAATCTGTCGTTGCGGAGCCGAAACCGAGTATCGAGCATGGCGTACATGAAGGAGGATGAAGATGATAGAGACGGAAACATAAGAGGAGGATAGCGGTATGATACGAAAAGACGAATACATCGAGTGTTGAGGTAAGTCGGCTGAAATATCCTTGAGATATGAACCCTTGTCTGATGTTGATCGAGAGCGACGACCACGCGCATGGTGCTCGAAAGACGTACTACGAGCTACGCATTCCAAGGCGACGCATAGCACGGGCTCTGATGTGCATCTGAATGTGCAAGTGACCTTGGATTCGCAAGCCCAACAGGTGCTGCATCCCGTATGCATAGAAGAATTGTGAGCGTACACAACGAACACATATGCCTCAACTTGCAGTTGGGCTCGGATTGGGAGCAAGGTCCGGTTATCGGAGGATGAAGTTTCAGAAGGGGTCACCGGTCATCATTTCCAGGTCCGGCCTTCTATCGTTCTCATCGCTCTCGGTGGCCAGCCTGCTTAGCAACAGGAGTAGGGCAATTCGACGTTCATGGGGGCGGATGAGTGTCATGGCGCCTTTCTCCAAAGTACTCTACCAAACTACTAGTTCCAGATATCGCCGTTCTTATACGGCTTGACCAGACGCAGTGTACGCCACGCATTCAACCACGCATGACTCGCGTCTCATGCAGTATATGAACGAGTTACAAACAGAAGTTCGGGTACCACGCCCGCTAAGGCGCGTCATCAAGTCCTCGAGTAATCCAACTAACAAACGCATGGGGCAGTGTCAACAAATGCCCTATCGAGGATTGCTAGTCGACGCACTTCAGGCCCTTGGACAATCAGTGTGATAAACCCACACGTCCTCCTGCTCCAACTCCTCCAGAGTAGTTCTCAAGTGATTGACCATAAAACTGCTGATGCGCTGTTAACGCCGTGGGTCAGCTGTGCCAGACTACACGCGTAGAAGATCCGACCAATTTCAGCTCGGCGTGACAGAACTCTGGTGTGGCCTCTGCGGTGCCCCAATAACCCGACGTCTTGCCCGCGCGAGTAAGCGCGGTAGGGAACGCCTTGGCAAACTCGTTGCAGACCATTCGGTCCACAGCGTCCGCACGCTCCCACGCCTCCTCTCTCGCCTTCTGCCGCATGGGAACGTAGGCGAGCAAGAACTGGCATTGTCGTTTGTTCTTGAAGTAGGTCAGAAAAAAATGCCGTTTGCGCGCGGGCGGTCCCTCGTCGGCATGCGTAGGGGGCTTGTCGTCGGGCGGTGAGGATTCGCGTTTGCGTTTGCGCCGCACAGTCGGGGAGACCATGGTGAGAGTGATGATACAACGTCTTCTACGCGAGAGTCGCTCAATTTAGGATGATAGCTCCGGCCACCAGCCCTTCATTGGTGAGATGCCCACGTTTATTAAGGAATCGCACGCGTCAGAGCCTCTGTTCCCAACACAGGCAAAACTCAGCGGAGCCCAGGTGAACGGGTACCAACGATGTCCGCGTAGGATCATCTCCACTTGCACTGCCTTTCCGTGGTAATCTATGCGTCAGAATGAGGAAAATGCCAGATCACCGGCGGTGTGATGTATAGGCAGCGCGGCTCTGCGTCCGACAGTTTTACAGGATTAGCGCAGTCGTTCAGTGTGTAACCTCGGGCTGCATGTCATTCCAACGTATTCGCTGACGAGTTATACTCCTGCTTAGCCACATCGGCCGGTAAGCTTTACACGTGAGTAACGTTGAACAAGAACCGCTCTCTCGCGGGCTACTGGTCTCGTTTCTTACCGCAACAAAGAGACCGTGTGTAAGATTTGTTGGATCGTCTATGATGGCGCTTCCGTAGCATATGTGTCGGTTGAGTCGGCACAAAGGGCATATCCGCGACCGGCCCCAAACTTTGTACGCCCGATGATGCTGAGGGTCTGAGAAAAAGTCGTCGGCGCCATCCGGGTGTAACAGCCACATATGGTATACCATCCCACGGACATGCGCGCATAACAGAAGTCCCGGTCCAAGGCATTGCCCGACTGCAAGTGCTTCATACTTGACCAATAGTCCTACATCCCATCCAGTTCTCAGCTACATGGCACACGGCCCCCCTCCTGGTATCCATGACCCAGCCGGCCTAGCGATCGCGCTTTCGGCAATGGGGCTCGGCGATCGTGCGTTCCCGTATGCTGTAATTGACCATCCTAACCTCACCATTTTCCAGGCAGGTATATCGAGAACCAAGCTAATCAACATTCCTATGTCTACGGAAACTTCGACAAGCCCCTCGAATTCAGCCATGATTGGTGCGTCCTGTATATTGACGCTCGCATGCCGTGCAGTACACTAATTTCTTGTTTTCAGGCCAGCAGCGTCTGTAGTAAGCCAGGGAGAGCGTGGCGGCTGGGCGAGGGCCATCCGTCGCAGACATACGGCCGCCATCCCGAGGCCGGCGTCATACGATGGTACCTTCAATAGACCTGCCATACAGATCACGCACTGATGAGTCCTGAAGCCAGACGCTCTCCTCTGGCCGCACCGTCAACGCCATCGTCCACCAGTACGCGCATGCGCTCAAGATTGATGGAAACCACTGACCGTCTTCAGGCGATCGCGCTTCTTCGAGAACCACAGAATACTTTACCGCCTCCTCCTCGACAGCCTCGCGGAGTTCCTCAGCCCCCAGTTCAGCTAGCGCAACTCCCAACGAGCTTAGGAGATACATTCGCCAACGAACACCGGTTGAGTTCGATTGGATGCTCCGTCATGAGCCTGCTGCCATGATTGCCTGCATGGTCCGTGCAGAGCTTCATTCCTGGCATGGTCGTTGGTTTGTGGTGCGAGCCGGATGCCCACCCGGCGTCACTAATAGCATGTAAGCTATTCCCGTAATGCTCACACTCATTCCCATGCTCACAGACTTCTGATAGTGCCAAACTTCACGAGATGGCGGGAGGTGTCTTCGTTGATGGTCTCGCCGAAGTCTACTATGCGGGCGAGCAGCTCACTGCGTACGACATGTTTTGCGTGGATGCAATCCAGGATAAGCTCAAAGGTCTCTCGAGGGGTCCCGGCGATAATGTAGTGTGGTCACCATATTCAAGCGCTGCCATAGCGGACTGACAGGCCCTACAGCCCTTGGAGCACAAGTATGCAGCCGTGGAGAAGGCCCGCGAATTTGCTCGCCGGTGGCCGTGGCTCCCTCGCTATGTAGCTCACTGCGAGAGTACGAAGATATGGCTTTCGCCCCCCGTGAACGCAGGGGACATCATCATTGAGGCAATAGCTGACGACGGTTGGGAAGAGCGGATCGCGACACATCCTCTCAGACAGCGGATTCCTGGCCGCGACGATGTCCATCAAAGTCCTGGCGAGCACCGTTGCCCTGCACCACCACCGTCCTCCATTTCAACCGGGACCCGCCTCGGTTTTGACGGCTCTCCTACATTCTCAAACAGGAAGCACTACGTCGTCTTCGTCGGGAGAACGGTCGGTGTATTCGCTACCGAGTGAGTTCTCTACTCGTGTCCCAGCAAATGGGATCAATCGCTCATAGTTAACAGCGAGGACTCTCGAAACGCATACGAGGGCGTTTCTTGTGCAATTCATTGTGCTTACCCTACTGAACGGGACGCACAACTAGCCTTCCAACAGGCCTGGCTATTTGGCGAAGTTCATGTCCGCACATGAGTCAGTGGAAGTTCTTTGTCACGGGCTCCATCAGGAGACTTTCGATTCGAGTCCTCCAGTAGCAGTCGGCCTCAGCGAGCTCTCGTGTCTCAATGACAGATAAATCGCCGACAATATCTTAGAATATATGTGTGTGCCTACATTTGCAGGCTGTCCGTGAAGTGTTCGTTTATCGCGGTCTCTTGTCATACTCCCAGCATCTTGAAAGAGGAGAAAACATAGGATATTCATTGGGTATGCACTGTGAGTAAATTACATTGCGGGCCATTGGCCGCTTCTGCGGGCATACTCAGATACATGACATCATTCGAAACTACTGGACCCAGATACAATGCATCACGCGATGAGAACAAACAAGACGGGCACAGAAGTAGAAGGATCAATCGCGAGATATTGTGAACGGCTTGTTGACCTCAAGCTTCGGAATGCGAGCGCGCGCGGCGCCGGGCGTCTGGCTCGCCGCCAGCGACCTTGGCTTGTCAGCGCGAGACGATGTATTTGGCAGTGCACCCGCGTCGATGAATGCAGGCAAGACAGATCCCGAGCTCGAGGCGCCTAGACTTGGTGTGGAGGTGCCGGTATCTCAACATATAACACAGTGACGGAGACCAGCAGCGGAAGCCGGGGCGTGATTCCCACTTGGCTGAAAGCGACAAGGTTGGTGCCGTCGATGGTAGGCAACGTCTTCGAAGGGATGACGAGTTAGGGTATGGGCAAGGTTGCCGGGCTTGTTTCGAAAGTGCTGAGCACTCGGGATTGGGCATCGGATGCGAGCGCGCATGGCGTCGATGGACTGGCCCGCCGTCAGAAGCCTCCACGTGGAGACCTGGGAGGATACCACAGATGCGCACGACACGTGTGCCGAACTTGACGCGTGTGCTGTCGGGTGTGGCGTCGCTGAAAGCTTGCCTGCGAGTGGCGAGACTTGGTAGCCAGGGCGTGTGCGTGGATCCGACCTGCGCAGAAAGCAGCAAGACCGCCGCCGCCGCCACCACCAGACAATGTCTCAGACAGGATAGCGAGCACAAAGGGAGAGTACACAGGAGTGCGAGTGCTTGCCCGCGCAAACGTCCGTGAAGAGGGCCTGCCCTCGACGCGTGCCCAGAAGCAGCTTCCCCCTCGCTGGCGTAGGTCATGGGTAGCGTGCAACGGCGGCTGCGGCATGCAAATTCATGACGAGGGCGGCGACGACGAAAGGCAGATAGAGAGCAAGGGTGCGGCTAATGGCAAGGCGAGGTGAAGGCGGGCATGAACAACTTGCGCGCGCGCGAGGCGGTTCGAGAGCGATTAGCTGATCGTCACGTTGAGTAGATCACAACGATCTGCGGGCCGATTCTTGCACTTCATGATGACGAAGGTCATAGCTATCAGTTCCGCTCACGGAATAGAGTTGAAAGGCTTCTCACCGCCGGGACTTGACTTGTTGCGGGTTGGTAACGGGAGCGGCAAGAGCCAAGTTCGGCGCTTTCGGCGATGCGGTAGTCGCCGTTTGATATCGACACACCCTGATCCACACCTTGGCCACGACTATATTAACCTGCCACCATTATGCGGCGCAGGGCGGCACGGGCCTCTCCATCACGGCGCCATACATGACGCAGTCCTGGCTTCAACACGTTCCCTTGGAGGTAGAGCGAGTGCTACATGGTCTGCCTATTCGCCTAGACGCGGCTGGCGATGTCAGTGCTCCGAATCCGGCATTTGACGAGTCAGAGGAACACCTCAAAACATGGACAGTATGTGGCTTCGCGTACCGTATATGATATCTCGACTGAGAGTGTACTAGATGTGCTGCTTTGTAGACTCCCAGATCTCATCTACGGACAGCTTGCACTCATACACCACAAACGATCTCGAGCTGAATGTCCCACCACCCTCACCCGCATTCGCTTCTTTTCCGTACATGGTTGGAGATCATAGTCCACGCGACATGGCTTGCGATACTCAGCTTGCTGAACCGCTATGTGAGACTCCAGTGCGGGATCTTCTGCGGACGACGCTCGACAACTACGTCACGTCCTACTATCCTTCAATGGTCGGATTCCTTACAACCCCCCCACGGGAGTCTAGATCGACAGTCGACAACCTAGTTTGGGAGTGTCCAGAGTGCCGGTATCTCTTCTTCCCTCTCAATATGGGCGTGGACGAACACGCTCATCTAGTCGGTATCGCCCCGCACCTCGAGGCTGTCGATGAAGACAACGGAGCCGTGTCCATTCACACATCCGACCATTCCCTATTGCTTCGCTTCATCGATTACTTTGCCTACATTCACGTCGATCATGCGCACCTACGCGAGATCGGTGTGTACTTGGAGCATCCCAATCCGGAGGCGGACTATCCTGTGGGTACTTGTGCAATGCCCCCAGAAGCTAGGATTGTCTAACGCGAACAATAGGCACCGGCAGTCTGGTACTTCACCCATGACAGGCCATCAGACGTCGGCTCTATCTCTGCGTACGAGTTATCGGATGAGGTGGTTCGCGACCTTCTGCAGACGCGGCAGGACTTTGAGAAGGATGATACTCGTCTCTGCTCCGAACTACGTTCTAGTCTTACGGAGAAGGCCCGGCGCACCGTTCGGCGGAACCTTCATCGCTTGTCAGTGCATCTGACGATCTGGCGCCACAATCAGCGCACCGAGCGGCGTGATCTAGCACAGACTTTACTCGCGGCCGGCCGCTCCATTGCGGAAGTTGGGCGCGCGCTTGTTGCCCGTGCTCGCAGAGAAGAGGAGGATAGCGGTCAACAAGAACGGTTGAGTCAGTATTACCGTTACAAGCGTTCATACGGTGACATGCTCGCCCTCCGTACTTAGTTGGGATTCGTGCATCCTGTCCTGCAATTGCTTTCCGCGGTATCAAGACTGCTGATGTAGACGTTTGATTGAGCCGGATCAGCGTCTGGGTTTTACATACGGCAGAAGTGCTAATGCCTCCTGTTGTGAGAGATATATACCCTATGTGCTCACCGGAAGAAAGCTGCCGGGCGTGATGGTATCCTGGCAAGCTTCCTTGAAGATGACTGAACAGCGCTCAGGCCTAGAATGATTGCGAACATGCGGAATGAATGGCCGGGGGTTGCCATGTCGGGCTTGCTCCTGCGAGGACTCTGGAACACAGGGTGAGCAACACGGTTCACGAAGACGCCGGAAGCACAACTTCTGGCAGGCCGACAAGTTGGCGCCCGATCATGCCATATAGGTATGCGGCGACGTGCAGTTGTGCGGTGGGCGCATCTTCATGCCTCCTCCTAGTGCCATGGACATTGATGAAGCGAATGTACAAGACGTTGAGCTGGCGGATGATTCACCGGACACTTGGGTATTCGTGGTGAGTACATTGTGTACCTTGGCTATGCGCCGCTTACAACATTCGGACATAGATGCGTAAGGTACTTGCAGACTTGCGTACCGGACGACCGAGGACGACTCATCCGGACGATGAGGCGGCCACAGCACCACTTTCCATGCCTCCAGAGCTACATGTACTTCCTGACGCATGTAGTACAAGTGCCTATCTTCGCGAGATTCGTGTAAGCATCTGAACACTGATGTGAATCCTCCAAACCTTGACATGCTTGGCTCACGCTTCTTCCAGCGCAAACGGCTTGAGCGTAGATCAGCCCTACAAACGCAGGAGGAGGTCAGACAGGAGCGCCTATTCTTTCGCTGCGAGGTGCACATGTTGGCTCGCATTCGGGCGCAGCAGGATGGCCTTCGAGAACCACCCGTCGGAGACGAGAACGAGCACCACCTCTTGGAACGCAAACTTCGAGCCATACATGCCGCCGCTGTTTTCGGCCGGGCCAAGGAACGTGCTCTTCTTTACCGCGAGCAAGAGAAAAGACTTGGAGAAGCCGAGCAGATTATGAGATGTGAAGCATCCGCCAGCGCACATTAGCATAGCATGGATTACTCGTTGACATACCTGAAACGTATGCAATCATATACAAATCGAATACACTGGGCTAGCAAGACAACAGCAATTCCCGCGTACGCACCCTCCTTCACAGGTAACTATTGGGAAACTCAGAGGTGAGAAAACACGTCACACTCCTGGCCTACTGCACCGCAACATCACAGTGCAAGGCGACGTGCCTGTACGACGGATGCGATTCGGTTTCTTCGTGAGGGATTGCTTATTAGATACTCACTATACGTCTACTTCTTATATCCTTGAGTGTAGCGAGGACTGAGCAGCCGGTATTGTGCTGACACTCTCCATGAGGTCGCGTAGACCATTTGTTCATAGCAGCCGGCCAGGTAGGAGACACAGTCGATGGCCTGAGGCCAGACCACTATATCATCAAGCACTATCTCCAGTGTACACCAAGACCAGAGACGGTGAGGTGATAGATGGTACAGGCCACAATTGAAGCACACGCAGCTACTACAAGGTCTAAGTAAGCAATGCGTGTGTAGACAGACAGGGAGCTATAGAAATCGTAAGCATGCGTGACTGTGAGTGAAGTCAGTGAATACGCACATTCTGCGACATTGGCGGTCGTTCAAGGGAAGATCAGATCCTGGGGGATTCCTCCCAGCCTTTCCAAAGAAGACGTAAGATGCGCGAGGCGTCGAGTGCTGCAGTAATAGTTGCGAAACTTGCGTCCAACCACCTGGTGTTTCCGTCAGCCTTAACCGCATATAAGAGTAAGATTGAAGCACATACCCGCCGGTAAGCCTTATGGTCCTTCCTAATGAGATCGGTCCTAAACCAAGGATGTTCCGCGAATATCATATGTTGACGCTCCGATACCCATTCCTTGACACTAGAGTAACCAAGGGTAAAGTTTGGATCTACCTCGCGGATGACTGGATCGAACTCCTCGTGAATGATGGTGGCGATGGCCGCGGCTTGAAGTGTAGTCAGACGATGAGCCATGAAAAGCAAAGCAAAGGACGACGGACAGAAGTTGATTTGATATGAAAGGAAAACAACCCATTTACGTGGTTGGCGTCGTCTTGTCAGTAAAGCACCTTGATACTGATGGCCCAGCGGGGATCATCATCACGTCAAAGATATTGGGCTCCATACTGACGGATAAGGTACAGCGACGGCGGGCGCAGTAGTCCCGGTAGAGTCGATGCGGACTCCCACAACTCTGCGGAGAGGCGTTGCTTTGCCTGCAGTCTCACCCTAAGGACGGAGGAGCTCCGATCGTGTCTGGGACCGAAGACTGCGGGACGGGATGGCACACAACTTCGTCGGAGACGACGTCGAAGGTGATAACCTGGACTGAGATGTGAGCCAGCTCTTCCTAAGACACTCTGAAAGCACGAGCCAGACCACTGGATACATCTCAGGAGAATACCGGAACGGTAACAGTTGAAATCCGAGAGGGTATGTGCATCGACAGAACCTGAACTTCCATGTTGATGAACAGCGCTCAGCGCTGGTGAGCGCTGTGAGATAAGAGACGCCGGAGGGCTTCACGCTAAATGGCACGAGTCTATGATTGGACTGCGGGATGCAGGATTGGATTTGT